TTAATTAAATCTCATGTGTATTTTCAAAAAGTGAATTTGGTGGTTGTTTTTTCCAGGATCGGGAGAACGCCCAGAGTTCCTGCGCCGGCCTCTTCATCGGTTCCCACCTGGGCTTCGATTGGCCCGGTGTCTGGGTCCATGTTGACATAGCCTCTCCAGTTCATGCGGTGAGTAACTTTAGCTTTCCCTCCGGTACGTCTGATTGGTCAGATATATATATATATATATAGAAAATCAGGTGATCGTTGGGACTTTTTTAAAGGGGATTTTTCTTTTATGTATATTTTTTACAATTACATTTTTCATCATGATCCAGTTTAACTTAGTATCTTGCAATCCAGATCTGTTTTGGCTGTTTCTGATTATTTTTTATGTCTGAGAGATTGTTTGACCCAAAACTCGACTGAATATAAAACCTTTACTTTCTACCATTTGTGGTTTAATACCGTATATTTCTGACATCATAGGTGAAGCTTATGGCATCAGGATTCTGCCAGAATTCTACGCACGCAATAAATACTCCTATGAGCAGCTTTACTTCATACAGACACTCATATCTCATATGCACAGTAGAGTCCCTGAAAGTCCATGAAAGCTTATTCCTTCTCATTATTATATATAACATGGTGTGGATGAATACTGGATTCTGATTGGCTGTAGGATGTCCCTTAAACAGGGTTACAGGACATCTACAAAAAAAGTTCCAGTCAAAGCTGGAAACGGGAAGACTGTTTACACTGGTTACCTTGGTAACGTGTCACAATTCAAGATTCACAAATTCCTGAAAAGCAGCCAATCACAGGAGGGTTGCTTCGTCTGGCGGATAACGCCCTCAAAGTGACGAAGATCGACGGGGGCGAGCAGAAATGGATCCACATGTGAAAAAAACCACATCCAGAGAAGGAACAAGCACTCACCTGTGATCTATTGGGACCCATTGGCCCCTGTTTGCACATTTAACATGTGCAAATATCTTTAAAGTAATCTTTAAAGTAAAGCTGCTTGTAGGCAGAATCCTGACCCTTATAGTAGCTGCAGTATTATGTTGTAATGTTTTTGTTTTTTGTTGACACCGTTTCTTTCTGGTTGGAGAATCATGCATCACTCAGACTATAAATTGAAACTCGAGGTAATTTTCCAGCACAGCTGCTTTATTTATACTTCAGAAGACAAATGAAGGACCAAGTTGTTTTATTAGGACTTTATAAGTTCTGTAAAAATAACAATAAAAGTTCAGCTTTGTAAACCGTTTTTTGTTGTTTGCATAATTTAAAAGAAATCCTAAATATCTGGATTAGAATGCAAAAAGGGGATTAAAAGTCCTGAAATGTATTTGTGCTTCATTTAAGCAGGTAAGTAAAATAATCTGCCATGGAATACGATTTTTTTACTTATTTTAAGTGCAATAATATATACATTTCTAACTTTAGGGACTCAAAATACTCATTCCATTGATAATTATACCCGCCTGCTTAATTAAAGGGCCAGTGCATTTTTTTAGAGGTTCCTTGTATTTTGACGTGTATTTTTGCAACGTAAAACAAACATTTAAAGATGTTTTGGAGTTTTACTTTTCTTGCAGAATTGTCTTTTAGGTAAAGGTTTGACATTTTTTTTGTTTGTTTTTTCAAAATCTAAAGCAAAAAGTCATAAATTGTTTGCCTTCTGGGCGGTCCTAGCTGCTGCTGTTACAGACACGGAGCACACAGCTGCTTTCTCTGAACCTTCAGAGCCATTTTTAGACTCAGAAGTTAATCGTTGAAGATGAGCACCAAACTTAATGTAGATCCTGTATTCCAGGGGGAGCGTGCCACTGGGTTCGGCGTCGCTTTGCTCATGGCCCTGTTTGGCCAGGCCTCTGATGACTCCATGTTGAACCAGGTGTCTCCTCTGGGGGCTCCGTCCAACAAGTCAGAGGGCCAGATGGAGCGGGACTGCAAGAGGCGTAGACTGGTTTAGAGGCGACGCTTCACTCCTCCAACCTCTGCATGGCTGCCGCCCGGCCGTCGAAGCCCGTCCAGTTAGTGGAAACATTTTAAAGAGTTTGATGGAACCTGATGAGTGAATAACAGGATAATAAGATGTAGTGTAAATGATCAACACTGCCCTCCACTTGTCATTGTTACTCATCGGCTCCATAACTCATTTCCTTTTTTTTTTCAGTTTACTATGACAAAGATTAAATATTAGAAATAAAATAAAGTTGATTTAATTGTTTTCGTATCAGTCTATCAAAGATAATTGTGTTGATTTTTTTCTAAAGACTAAGATTTTAACACCTCGCAGATTCTTCTTAAACATCAGCAGGAAGTGTATTCTTTTATGTAAATCAAGGAGTACGCCATCATGTCTTACACGTTGTGTTTTTTTTATTGGATCATTAAACTTGTCAGGAACCACCGCACTTTGTATTAATGCTAGATGACAATGTGATCCTTGAACTAAGAAGCATTAAGCACCACCGCAGGTTTTATCGGTTGGTTTTTGGGAGAAAACATGTTTTGTAAATTTCAAATATTATGTCAGTAGCAGTGTTTGTCAGGGTCCTGCACAATGACGTCTATCCACATGTCTGACAATCATGTCCTTGTTTCAAAGCAGTGCCATCAGAGAAAATTAATAAAAGATCTAGTCTGTCAAC